CAATGAACTTTGGTACCAGATATCAGTTACAGCTCTGAAATAAATATATCAAATTTTGTCTAGATCGGTTCAGATTTGGATATAGATCCAAGATATATCTTCAAACGATTTCGGGTTAATTGTGCATCAAATGGCCAATATCTGTCAAAAATTCCTAAATTTTGGTATATCCGACCGAATTTAGTCTAGAAGCAAGTACAACAAATTTTGAGAAAATCGGTTCAGATATATCAATAGCTTCTATATACAGGGTGAGATGATAAAACTGCAACCAAATTCATACTGCTGTCATTTCTAAGCCATTCGTCCGACAGCTGTTAAAATTATTCCAGTGACAGCTCATTATATTGTTTACAAGTGCACAAAAGCAGAATTTTCCAGAAAAAAAGTTATTCGTGATGGAATTCTTTATATTTGGCTGGAAAACCACAAGTCGCTATCGTTGGAGCACTCCAGCATTTAAACTATGAATAAATCTTTTGTGTCTCGTACCATCGCTCGTTACCGGCACATATTAAACAAGTAAGCAAAGGCTATAGTCGTGCTGGGCCGACCATGTGATACCCTACAAAACTACAATATGTTAAAAGCCCCTTAATGTCCAAATTAATTTTGGAAGATTTCGCGGTGCATAGCCCAGATATTACCCTCAGCATTCTGACCAGGGATATTTGCCCAATATTTACGCACTCCGTCGTGCTGTTAGTTGTTGTGGTCCATTTTACAGCTAAGTATAATCCAATGATCATCCAAAATGCTAGAATTCTTCCCTGTCCTTAACGCTCTTCTCAGGCGTGTCGAATGGCTTCAATTGTGTGATCAGGAATTTTTTTCTGTTTTTGGTTCATGTGAACCCCTAATATTTTGCGATCATCTCCAAAAGCAGGAGGCCAATCTTTATCTCCAAATTTAGACTCATCTATATGATTTTCTTGTCTACGATATTTGCCTATATTCGTCAACGAAATCGGCATAAAAAGCCAGAAGTTCGCCTCTTGTGTATTTCGGATATCGCCTGTAACTAATGTTGGTATTTTTCAGACAGAAATAGTTGTCCATTCTACCCACTGTCCTAAACTCTAACTTTATGCGAGATTTCGTGTCCTTTGGTTTCTATTTATGACCTTTATAACGGATTGAAAATCAGGAACATTTTTAGTTGTTGGTCCATTTCAACCCCTAAATATAGTGCGGACATCTTTAAAAACAATAGGCCTAGCCCTTCTGAGCCTAACCCTACCCTTTTCGTGAGGATCGAACAATAATTGCAATATGCATTTAATATCCCCAACCTGTGTTGTAAGGTGAAGAAATATTACAAAATATTATAAGTCAAATTAAAAAATCGCATGCGATAAAAAATATGAAAAAATAAAAAAAATTTCACAAAATACTACAAAATCTATATTAACATCTTTATTGGCATATTTTTCTGCGATTTTTTTAGATTTTATATTTTTTTGCTAAGAGTGCATTCTGAATTGACAAAATTTGTCAAAATCGGTCCAGCTTAAGATATACGCATTTTAGCTAACATCACCTTCCTTTGTATATATACATTGTATATATTTCGCTATATATAACCGATATATTTACTATCGGCATCTACGTAACGGTCAGAATTGACCTGTTGGTCTATTTGTGATTTCGCCGGGATTAAAAATATTCGCGGTTTAATGGAAATTGGGCTTTTATTTAACACAAATGTTGTGGCCTTTTTCACCCACTAAATAGCACCGATGACCATCCAAATTGGAAGACTTCTGCCCAGCCCTAAGCTCTAGTCCCATGCTAACTTCCGCTTTGATTGAGACCTTTAGAGCAACTGCAAAATCAGGAATTTTTCAGTTTTGGTCCATTTCAACCCCTAAATATTAAGCGATCATCTCCAAAAGAAATAGGGTTCTATTCTGACCCTAGCCCCACCTCCATTCTAAATTTCGTGAAGATCGGGCCACAATTGCGACCTGTAGAGTGATTACAAATTAACATGGACAGACGGACGGACGGACATACATAGCTAGATCGACTCAGCTCGGCGAGGTAGGAAGATCCATATACGAGGTGTTACATAATTTTTGACCCAATCAAACTTATAATACCCCTAACACATAGTGTTGTAGGGTATAAAAATGAGCTCGGGGTAAAGCAATTGAAATTCCACAAAGTTCAAGAACACCGCAACAGAAAGAAAATATGCTCAAAAGAGTTAAAGAGTTGCTTCGCTTGGCCGAAAGTCGCGAACTGCCGAATTTGGTTTTCTCCGATGAGAAAACATTCGTTGTCCAGCAGTTTGTAAACAACCAAAATAATCGTGTTTACGTTTCAAAGAGGTCAGCTGAAAATGTGCATTTTCGGTTGGCCACCAGAACTCAAGAGCCAGCCATGGTGATGATGTGGGGCGCCATAACAGCCGATGGTCGCTCTCCGCTCGTATTAATCGACCGTGGCATCAGAATAAATGCCAAATATTATGGCGAAAATATTCTGGAGGGAGTATAAAAACCTTGGGCACGCAAACATTCCAACAGGACTCAACACCTTCACACTCAGCACGCGCCACCCAAGAATGGTTATAAAATGAGGTTCCTCGCTTCATTTCCAGCGCACAATGGCCACAAAAATCTCCGTATACCAATCCTTTGGACTATTGTGTGTGGAATATTTTGGAAAGTAAGGTTGGCACTAAAAATACCAAAGTGTCGATCACCTCAAGCAAGCGCTTCGCCTGGAATGGGTCACAATAGCGCAGAGCAACATTCGGGCAGCGTGTGACGGTTTCATTGGCCGTTTGAAGGCCAAAATTCGTGCCAAAGTTGACCAATTCCTACAAATCTAAACTCAATCTAAAATTTGATTCTATTTCCAATACTTTTTCATTTCATTCAATAAAATTGAAAAAAGAAATATATAAAAATTATGGCGCATGACTTTGTTGTTTTTTTATCTCACCCACTATTTATTTCATTCGATTTGGTGTTTAAGTCCCTCACATTCGTAATATGCATTCGACAACAATGATATTTGATACGGGACATCAGATACTGCTCGAAAATGCCTCTGCCTAATTTTATCGAGATCGGTTCAGATTTGTATATAACTCTGATACACATCTTCATCCGATATTAGTCCCCATATATGTAATATCAGCCAAACTTGAATAGATATTTTCACATTCAACCGAATTTTAAAATATTCATAGTTGGTATCATGATACAATACGGAGGTAGAACATCTTCGCAAAACTACAAAAATACAGGCCTCATTCTATGCCCACTTCCTGTCAGACTCATTTTCCTGAGTGAGTTAAATAGCGGAAAATAAATTAAATGCCTGAATTTTCTCTCAAAAATGTGATCCGAACTGTTCAATCTTTTAATTTCATGGCTAAACTGGTTAATCGCTTTAATGCACGACCCGCAATGGACGTGTCTTCCAATCAATGGTTGTGAAAAAAAATTGTTTTCATTTTTCAAAACAATAAATACATAAACAAAACAAGTAAGCAAAGGCTACAGTCGAGCGGGGCCGACCGTTGAATACCCTACAACACTATAATTAACGATACAGTTTATATAAGCGAGATACTCGAAAGAATTCCACAACATATTGTGGCAAATAATAAAAGAAAACCAGGTTTCGGTCCATTTCAACTCCTAAATTTATGGCGATCATCTCCAAAAAGAGTAGGCTTCTATTCTGACCCTCATCTTATCCCCATGCAAAATTTCGTAAGGATCGGGCCATAAATGCGATCTGTATATGATATCCTGATATCCTAACTACTTAGTTTTGTTAGCTGTAGAAATATTACCAAATGTTTAATTCAAAATGAAAATATGCCAAAAATATGACAAAATTGAAAAAAATATGAGAAAATGTTACAAAATCAATATTTTCATCTTTAGAGAGATATTTTTATGCGATTTTTTAGACGTTTTTTCTTTCCTGCCAAGAGGCCATTCTAAATTAATGAGAACTGTCGAAATCAGTTCAGCCGTTCTCGATATATAAACGATTTTTCAAGAACATCTTCTTTGATAAACAAATATATCGCACATATTTTGCTATATATCCGTTTTGTTGGATGTTAACATCAATGTAAAGATCAGAAGTAACCTTGTCATGGCTTTGTGATTTCGCCGGGATTTAAAATATTCGCGGTTTAATGAAAAATGTTGAATTTTTTCAACAAAAAAGATATGGTCTATTTTACCCGCTAAATATTATCCGATGACCACCCAAATTGGTAGGCTTCTTCCCCGCCCTAAACTCGAGCTACATGCGAAATTCCGCGTCGATTGGTCTATAATTGCGACCTGTATAGCTACTGCAAAATCCGACATTTTTTCAGTATTTGGTCCATTTCAACCCCTAAACATTTGGCGATCATCTCCAAAAGAAATAGGGTTCTATTCTCACATTAACCCCACCTACATTTTAAATTTCGTGAAGATCGGGCCATAATTGCGACCTGTAGAGTGATTACAAATTAACATGGACAGACGGACAGACGGACGGACGGACATACATAGCTAGATCGACTCAGCTCGGCGAGCTAGGAAGATCCATATATACTTTCCTATATGGGAAATCAATATTTCGTGGTGTTACATAATTTTTGGCCCAATCAAACTTATAATACCCCCAACACATAGTGTTGTAGGGTATAATTGGCAGAAGTCGAGCACACTTAGAAAAAAGTTGTAATCAGTTCTACCTTACCTTTTTATTGTACCATGGTTGGTATGATTTACTTCACATAAATTCCCAATATAATTGTTTTTTTATTACGGGAGCTCTACTAAATACGCATAGTGGTGGAGGGTATTACATAGTCGGCCCGACCCACTTTTGACCTTTCCTTACTGGTTTTTAGTTCGTATTCCCAATAACCCAACCTAATTTACATACCAAATTTCAACTTCAGCTACCTCGGCTTGATACGACTATTATAACTAAACACTTTATATATAAATATAGAAAAAAATATACTTTGGAAAACAAATTTCATAATTCTGACATTGACGTCATACTATAAATTATTGCCAAATAAAAAATTCCAAACGAAACATGGAAAAAATCCATGTTTGTATCATTGGTTCGGGTAATTTGTAAGTTAATTATTTATTAACCATTATAGTCCATTAAACATTCTCCCCTTGTCCCCCGAAGGGGCACTGCTTTGGGCAAAATATTGGCTGAAAACGCTGCCGCTTTAAGCGATTTTGAGGAGCGTGTAAATATGTTTGTCTACGATGAACTTTTCGATGGCATCCGACTCAGTGACTTGATCAATAGCCATCACATAAATGAGAAATATTTGCCACAAATCCAGTTGCCCGACAATTTGGTGGCCTGCACAGATTTGGTGGAGACAGCAAAATATGCCGACATCATTGTTTTCGTAATGCCCAAACAATTTATTGAGGACTTTTGTAAGACTCTGCTGGGTAAAATCAAACCAAATGCCATGGCTATTTCGGTCATCAAGGGGTTTGTGTTAAACGAAGGCGACGACAATGGTGGAGAGGTTGCGAGTGGAAGCGGCATTCAATTGATTTCACAAACCATTATGAAATATTTGAAGGTAAAATAGGAAGTATTTGCCAAAGGAATTGTTTCAGTTTGTTTTCTTTTTTTTTTTTTGGAATTTGCATATTTTGCTTTGGGTTTTATTTTTTATTTCAAAGATTCCCTGTGCTGTTTTGATGGGTGTTAATTTGGCCAGTGAATTGACATTGAATCGTTATTGCGAAGCCACTTTGGGTTGCCGGGACATGAAACATTCGAAAATGTTAAAGGACCTCTTCAGTACGCCAAACTTTCGTGTAATTGTCATTGATGATGCTGATGCGGTTGAAGTTTGTGGTTATTTAAAGGTTGGTTTGACTTTTTTTATCTCCGTTTGCAGAAGTTCAAGTGTGCAGGACATGTTTATTTTTATTTCGATTTTTCTTTCTTTCTCATGTTTTTTTTTTTCCTTTGTTTTGTCTTTTTAGCATCTAATTGCCTTTGCATCGGGTATTTTGGACGGCCTGCAGAAGAACGAAAACACCAAATCTGCCTGCCTCAGATTTGCTCTCATCGAAATGTTACGCTTCATCGATGTCTTCTACCCTGGCTGTAAATTGTCGACTTTATTCGAAAGTTGTGGCATTGCTGATGTGTTGACAGTCTGTGCTGGCAGTCGCAACAGGCGTTTGGGAGAAGCATTTGCTAAATCCGACAGGAGTATTGAACAACTGGAAACAAGTTTAATGGGCGGCGAACAAGTGCTGGGTCCTCTAACAGCCAATGCTGTTTATTTGATGCTGCAGCAAAAGGGTCTTCAGGAGAGGTAAGATGATTTGAATGTTTTTTTTCTTGTTACTTTTGTTGTGAATATTTGAATGACGTTCTAGTTGTTCCTAACGTTGCTTCTTGTTGTTATATATAACTTATATAAGATATATATAACTGAGTAGTGAAACAACTGACTGACTGACAGATCTAAAATCAGAGGGCCAGTCTAGGTGCATAAGACAGGGGTTTTGGAAATTCGTATTAAAAGGGTACGAAAAGTACTAAAAATTTAAAACTCTGTATTGAGTAAACTGAGTGAGCTGGAATCCTTAAGTTTGGAATGAGGGTCGCTGAAGAAGTGCAGGATATATGCACCAAAGTGGTTTTGAAAATTCGAACCCTCGAGGTTGCTAGAATTTCTACAATAGCATCATTTGTATTAAGTGAAAGTATAGAGCTAAAAATTTTAAATTTGATATGATAATCAAGGTTGGAGGGTAAGTTTGATACATGAAACTGGTTTTGGAAATGTGTACTAAGTGCACGAAGTGTAAAAAGTAGGAATACATTTGGAAGAATCTGATTTAAAGTGATTAGATTAAGCTGGAATTTTAAAATTTTGTAGTAGGGTTATTGGTGGTGGATTTCTGATAAAAAGGTGATTTTGAAAATGTGTACTGCAAGTACACGAACAGTACTATACTTGATACAATTTGGTATTGGGTGAATTTCTGAAATTTGGTATTAGGATCGCTGTTTATTTGTAGCCTGAACATATGGAGGTGGTTTGGAAAATACGTACTCTAATAGTACGAAAAATAAAAAGTGAAGATAAATTGGGTGAAGGGATAGAGCTGGAATCGTCAAATTTGATTTTAAGATGGCTGTTGGTATCTAGGATATTGTACGAAAAGTACTAAATAGTACTTAATTTGCTGCAATTTGGTATATAGTGCTTGGATTCTGAAATTTTGAATTAGGGTCACTGTTTAGTCTAGCTTCGGCATATGAAGGTGTCTTCGGTAATATGTACTATAATAGTAGGAACAAGTAAAAAAGCAGTAAGTTCGGCCGGGCCGAACTTTATATGGGGGCTATACGATATCGTTGACCCATATAGAAATTTCTCTTCCGAGGTATAAAGTACCCGCAAGGTATTCCTTGTGTGGATTTTCAGACACCTCCGTTGAAAAAAAGTGCGTAAAATCATCAAAATAGCGAATATCGGGGGGTACCGTTATATGGGGGCTATACAATATCGTGGACCTATATAGATAATTCTTTTCCGAGGTATAAAGTACCTACTAAGGACTCCTTGTGTGGAATTTCAGACAATTCCATTGAAAAATGTGCGTAAAATCATCAAAATACCGAATATCGGAGGCTACTGTTATATGGGGGCTATACGATATCGTGGACCTATATAGATAATTCTCTTCCGAGGTATAAAGTATCCACAAGGAACTCCTTGTGTGGATTTTCAGAAAATTCCGTTGAAAAATGTGGGTAAAATAATCAAAATACCGAATATCGGAGGCTACTGTTATATGGAGGCTATACGATATCGTGGACCTATATAGATAATTCTCTTTCGGGGCATAAAGTACCCGCAAGGTACTCCTTGTCTGGATTTTCAGATAATTCCGTTGAAAAATGTTTCTAAAATCATCAAAATAGCGAATATCGGGGGGTACCGTTATATGGGGGCTATACGATATCGTGGACCGATATAGCCCATCTTCGAACTTGACCTGCCTGCAGACAAAAGAGGGATCTGTGCAAAAAATTTTAGCTTCCTATCTTAATTCGTTTAGACTGTAGCGTGATTACAACAGACGGACGGACGGGGCTAAATCGTCTTAGAATTTTACGCTGATCAACAATATATATACTTTGTTGGGTCTAAAATGATTATTTCGATGAGTTGCAAATGGAATGACGAACTTAATATACCCTCCATACTATGTATGGTGGAGGGTATAAAAATACTAAGTGGTACTAAATTGGATATTGGGTGAATGGACATCACTGGAATTCCGATATTTGACATTGAGGTCTCTGTTGGTATTGGGGATTGAGATATGGAGTTGATTTTGGAAATATGTACTGTAATTGTACAAAAAGTACAAAATAGTACTATGTTTGGTACGATTTGATATTGGGTAAAGAGATAGCGACTGAAATCTGGAATTTGTTATAAGGGTCGCTGTTCATGTGTATTCTGGGCATATGGAGGTGGTTTTCGATTGAGATATGGGGGTGGTTGTTGAAATATGTACTATAAGTACACGAAAAGTACTAAATAGTACTATATTTGGTTCCATTTGGTATTGAGTGGACAGTTAGTGCTTGAAATTTGAAGTTTGGTATTGGGGTCTCTGTTCAGGTGTAGCTTGGACATATGGATTTCGTAGTAGTACGAAAAGTGCTAAGTGGTACTAAATTGGGTTTTTAGCTTAAGGGATGGGGCTGGAATCCAGAAATTTGACATTGAGGTCTCTGTTGGTATATAGAATTGAGAAATTTGGTATTAGGCTCAATGTTAATGCGTAGCCTAGACATATGGAAATGGTTTTGGAAATGTGTACTATAATTGCAGGAAAGTTACTGAATTATACTAAATTTTGTCTTGGGTCAAGGGATATATACAGGGTTGTCCATATTCGACGGACCCATCTGGCAACGCCATAACTTTTGACAGAGATGTCACATCGCTTAATGACATACCGCGTTTGAAGCGTCAGTCGAAGCAGATTTTTACCATGAACCAATACACGCCACGCGAGCGCTCTGAAATAGTTGACATTTACATTCAACAGAAGAAGTCAAATGTGAAATCTCAACGTGCTTTTAAAACATTAAAAAATGTGAGAAGTGCGCCTTCTAAGAACACCATTAAGCGTTTATACAAAAAATTTTCGACTGGTAAGGCTCTTTCTAATCCGAAGAGGCCATATAAAAGTCGACCAAGGCGATCGGCTGAGAATATCGCTGCCGTACGAGCCAGTGTTGAGAGGTCACCAAGAACATCCCAAAAACGCCGTTCTCAGTAGTTGGGCATGGCTCGGTCCACTTTACAACGGATTATTCGCATTGATTTGCATTTGTTCCCGTACAAAATTCAATTGACGCAAAGAATGTTGCCTGCGGACATGCCTCGTCGATTGAAATGGGCCGAAAGAGTCATCGAAATGACCGAAGATGACGAGCAATTTTGGAACAAAATTATCATGTCCGATGAAGCCCATTTTACATTGAATGGGACCGTAAATAAGCAAAATTGTCCTCTTCATGACGAAAAAGTCACAGTTTATGCATAGTGGTGTAGGGTATCAAATATTCCGCCCCGCCCGATTTTTGACTTTTCCATACTGTTTCTTAATTGAGGAAATCGTAATTCTTGTACATATCTTTTTTCATTTGCAGATTCCCTCTGTTTACAATCATTCACAGAATATGTAAACGTGAAGTCAAGCCAGAAGAATTACTTCATTGTATAGCTACCATGCCAAATATTATGTAAGCGGAAAATTATTTCATTTACTTGAGTAATTTTCAATGTTGTGTAAATTCCTGTTACAGATATCATCCGACACAAATATTTCCTCTTTAAGTACCAAACGGAATTTTTGAACAGGAGATCATTATATTGGGGTTCTCTCGTGGGGAAGAAGAACATATGTATGTAAAATTTAACATAACAAATGCTAAACGTTTTGTAAATTCGTTCATGTTATTAAAATTACTGTTTTGCTGGAAAGACTTGTTTCTTTTAGCCGGTACAAGGTTACATACAAAACACACATGTATGTGGGAATCCCCTGGCCCCCTACTACCAAACTGGCAGCATCCAATTAATGTCGCAAATTATCAACACGAAATCCATCCAGTACTAAACTGCAAAACTTGTAACGTTTTGATATACGACGGGTCGTATATGTCTTGACGAGAAGAAAAATTCAAATTTTCTCAAGCCATATGTTCGTCGTTCATTCGACAGGCAGTCAATTTTAATGGGGTTTTATGGTTTCTGTTGCCTTTTTTTATTATTATTTTATCAAAATGTAATTTATATGTTAATCGAGATATGCTGTTGAGCCCCCAAACCCAAAATGCCTGAAACTCATAAAAAATTCTTAGCATAAATATGATAAGAAGGAGGGGAATCGCAGTGAGATAGGGAGAGAGCAGCAAAATATAACAAATTATTTTGCTGAGCATTTGCAACCTGTCAACCTATCCAAATACATTTGACTCCGATGAACTGTGTGGTGGGTGTGGGTCTGTGTGTGTGTGTGAGATGAAACTTTCCTGCAATCTTCGAAACCCCGAGGGACTTTGCAACGATTTGTTGTGGAGTATTTCTCCTCATCGGGGCCAAATGTTTTTCTCGTAGACAAATCAAAATCTAGTGACAGTAGTTGACAACTTCAGTGATTGAGTGATGAAATGAAGATTGCAAACCTTTTGACATTACCATTTTGCTGGCGAATATTTTGAAAATAGAAATGTTGGATTTATGTTGGGAATATCTTAATAATTCGGTGTCAAAAGTGGGAGTTAATGGGGGGAGCATAGATTAAGTGACTGGCATAAGGCTTGATTATGGGGTGAAAATGGAAAAGTTACCTTTATTGAAGAAAAAGCCATAGGTTCGTTGTCTTAGTGAAATGATTACCTATAAATAATTCTAAACATAATATATATCAAATAAAGAAATCTAATAAACCAATGCGGAAATGCATATTCGTCCAAGAGTAATGGTACTGGGTTTCGGAAATTTTGAAAGTTAAATCAACATTGAAAGGAGGAATGCTAAATTTATGTCGAGAATATCTAAAGAACTCGATGCCAAAACGTCGGAGTAAATGAGAGAGCTTTGGGATGAATGACTAGCATAATTATGCGTTCTAAAATTGTTAAAGAAAATACTAGACAAAAGTAGTAAATTTCATAAAAAAATCATAAGCCAAGAATTGTAGATTTTTTAAAATATTGTCATGTTTTTATGGAGTTGGACCAAAATGTGTAGTCGGGTCGGGTCATTGGACAATTTGTATTTCCTGTTGGGTGTTGGGGGTATTATATGTTTGATTGGGCCAGAATTTATGTAACACCTCGAAATATTGGTTTCCCATATAGGAAAGTGTATATGGATTTTCCTAGCTCGCCGAGCTGAGTCGATCTAGCTATGTATGTCCGTCCGTCCGTCTGTCCATGTTAATTTGTAATCACGCTACAGGTCGCAATTTTGGCGCGATCCTAACGAAATTTTGCACGAAGGTGGGGTTAGGGCCAGAATAGAAACCTATTTATTTTGGAGATGATCGCCAAATGTTTAGGGGTTGAAATGGACCAAATACTGAAAATATGTCGGATTTTGCAGTAGCTATACAGGTAATAGAGCAATCGACACGGAATTTCGCATGCAGCTAGAGTTTAGGACGGAGAAGAAGCTTACCAATTTGGGTGGTCATCGGATAATATTTAGAGGGTAAAATAGACCATAACGTTTGTGTTGAAAAAATTCAAAATGTTTCATTAAAGCGCGAATATTTTAAATTTCGGCGAAATCACAAAGCCACGACAAGGTTACTTCTGATCTTTACATTGATATTAACATCCAACAAATCGGATATATATATATATATATATATATATATATATATATATATATATATATATATATATATATATATATATATATATATATATATATATATATATATATATATATATATATATATATATATATATATATATATATATATATACATATATATATATATATATATATATATATATGCTTGAAAGATGTCTTATATGTCGAGAACGGCTGAACTGATTACGGCAGTTCTCGTTAATTCAGAATGACCTCTTGGCAGGAAAGAAAAAACGGCTAAAAAATCGCATAAAAATATCTCTCTACAGATGAAAATATTGATTTTGTAACATTTTCACATATTTTTTTCAATTTTGTAATATTTTTGGCATATTTCTACCCTACAACACTATGTATTGGGGGTATTATAAGTTTGATTGGGCCAGAATTTATGTAACACCTTGAAATATTTGTTTCCCATATAGGAAAGTATATATAGATCTTCCTACCTCGCCGAGCTGAGTCGATCTAGCTATGTATGTCCGTTCGTCCGTCTGCCCGTCTGTCCATGTTAATTTGTAATCACTCTACAGGTCGCAATTATGGCCCGATCTTCACGAAATTTAGAATGTAGGTGGGGTTAAAGTTAGAATAGAACCCTATTTCTTTTGGAGATGATCGCATAATATTTAGGGGTTGAAATGGACCAAAAACTGAAAAATTCCTGATTTTGCAGTTGCTCTACAGGTCGCAATTATAGACCAATCGACGCGGAATTGCGCATGTAGCTAGAGTTTAGGGCGGGGAAGAATCGGGCGGGGTGGTCATCGGATAATATTTAGCGGGTAAAATAGACCATATCTTTTGTGTTGAAAAAATTCAAAATTTTTCATTAAACCGCGAATATTTTAAATCCCGGCGAAATCAAAAGCCATGACAAGGTTACTTCTGATTTTAAATTGATGTTAACATCCAACAAATCGGATATATAGCAAAATATGATATGCACTATCAAAGAAGATATGCTTGAAAGATCTCTCATATGTCGAGAACGGCTGAACTGATTTCGACAGTTCTCATTAATTCAGAATGACCTCTTGGCCGGAAAGAAAAAACGTCTAAAAAATCGCATAAAAATGTCTTGAATTAAACATTTGATAATATTTCTACAGCTAACAAAACTAAGTAGTTAGGATATCAGGATATCATATACACATCACATTTATGGCCCGATCCTTACGAAATTTTGCATGGAGATAAGATGAGGGTCATAATAGAAGTCTACTCTTTTTGGAGATGATAGCCATATATTTAGGGGTTGAAATGGATCAAAAAAACTGCAAAATTGTCAGCAGGTCGTAATTATCGCCCGATCCTCGAATGGAGGTTACCGGAAAAGCCAAGCAGTTTCGGATGGCCATCCAAAAATATTCAATGTGTGAAATAGTTTGCCAACTTTTGTAGACAAAATACGAAAATGTCCATTCTAGTGACTTTTTGGAGAATTCACAAAGACACACTTCTGACTATTTCGTTAACGCTGATTTCATTTAAGAATATAGTCTAATGTCTGTATCTCATATAGATGCGTTTCAGACAAAAACCAATAATAAATATTAATCTTTTGCCACTTCTGAGAGATTATAGGTCTTTGGGAAATATTGGTTCCAGATCTAGGCCATTTAAGTGCAACATCTACCAATAAATTGGAAATGAGCAAATTAGTTTAAGTTGCTATTATTCGAAAAACCTGATCGTTTTCTTTTATTATTTGTCACAATATCTTGTGGAATTCTTTCGAGTATCTCGCCTGTATCATTTATTATAGTGTTGTAGGGTATCCAACGGTGGGCCTCGCTCGACTGTAGCCTTTGCTTACTTGTTTCAAAATATTTTTAATAAATTTTTTTTTAAATTAAAAATATTTTTATAACAAGTAAAAAATGTGTAAATAAAAGCCGTTAAAAATTCTGCTAAAATCCGAAATGAAGCCGTTATTTTAGTGTATATACTACGACGTGGATCTACATAGACAACTTTTGACATAAGCCATTACAATATTTAAATACGAAACTTGAAACAAAAAAATCGGTGAATAATGTAGCTAAAATCATCAAAATACCGAGTATAGGGAGGTACCATTATATGGGGACTGTGCCAAAACGTGGACCTGCACAGATAATTTCCTGTCATAGGCTGTAGTATCTATTACGAACTTCAAAAACCAAATTTGAAACGATTCCGGTGAATAATGTCGCTAATATCATCAAAGTACTGAAAATCGTGACGTACCGATATATGGGAGCTATACGAAGACGTGGGCCTGCATAGACAATTTGTTGTCATAGGCTGTAGCATCTATTACGAACTCCAACTACCAAATTTGAAACCATTCCGGTGAATAATGTCGCAAAAATCATCAACGTACCGAACGAAGACGTGGACCTGCATAGAAAATTTTCTGTCATAGGTTATAGTATCCATCACGAACTTCGAATGCCAAATTTGAAACAATTCCGGTGAATAATGTCGCTAAAATCATCGAAGTACCGAATTTCTGTAGGTACCGTTATATGGGGGCTATAGGAAGACGTGAATCTGCACAGACAATTTTCTGTTTTAGGCTGTGGTATCCATTACGAATTTCAAGTTCCAAATTTGAAACATTTCCGGCGAATAATGTCGCCTTATGCCAAAACGTGGACCATTTTTATGTCCAAATATAATCAAAATTATAAAATCCAATGATTTTTTTTTTTTTTTTTTTTTGAAAACTATTTTTTAAAACTCATCCCTCATTTGAGATATTCAAGGACTACACACCAAACGGCACACCAATGTAGGAAATTGTAATCTTATATTACCAGTTTCAGGATTTCATTATAAGATCCTTCTATTATTTCCAAAATTTATTAACAATCGGGTTGACCTCCCTTAAGGGCCATCTTATTTGGCATATTCTCTCTAATTTTTTTTGTATCCTACCTTAAAGAAGGATTTTAAATCATTTTGACTTAATTTGGTTTTAGTTAAAAAAAAAATTATTTTTAATGTTTATATTTTCCTCTTGGCGGAAACGTGTAATTCAATACAGGTCTTTGTTCTGCCTAACTAATATTCTCGTTGTGAACTCCACTTCGAATTCGTATAAAATTCGT